CCCATGCTCACTTCTCCCACTGCCCAGCATAAAGACGGTCTGAGTGAGGAGTTGGCTGGGCTTCAGCGCGGCACCCACTTAAGTGCAGAGAGAGAAAGGGCAGGGCCGGGGAGCCAGGCAACAGCAGACACTTTTAGCGCCTGAGGCATTCCTCTCCCGAGGGAGGCTGAGGGTAGCAATCTCATGATAAGCTTGAGATTTTCCACAGAGAGAGACATCGAGTTTCGAGGACTGTTTTTGTCTTTCTTTCTTTTTTAACATGCACAAGTTTGGAATCCTCTGTGGCAAAGCTGCTTCTCAAGTGTTCTGCCCTACCCTGTCACGTGACACTCAGGCCTAACAGTTTCGTAAGAAATCACACACGCCACCCTCTGAAGTGTTTGTTGCCATCAGGTGCCAAGATGGCTGGGAGGGGCTCAGAAAATTACAAGTGGATAGAGCTTTAGGGGGCTTCCGAGCCATCTGGACCAACTGAGCGCACTTTACTGAGGGAGCCGAGATGCAGATGGGAAAAGACACAGGCCTGAGCAGAGCCGACCACTGTCTGCGCCTCACCTCCTTCCAGAAAGAAGGGGGTGGTTTCCATGTGCCACCTCTGGAACCACAGAGTCAGAGCACACCGGTGGCCGCAGCTCTCTCCCGCCAAACTCCCATGAGGCCTTAGGTGTGCCAGGTGGGCAGAATAGATTACATCCTAGGAGCAGATGGAGTTCAGCGGGTGCAATACGTTCTCTCGCTAGGGTGTGACCCCTCTGCCACTACCTACTTCATCTGTAAGGCCGGGAAGACCAGAGCACCTGCCTCCCGGGATCAGTGTGAAGTTAAGCAGGCTGTATCTTCCAAGTACTTAGAATATGCGCACATAGCAATATTTGTGTCCCGGTGGTCATCAGCACCGGGACACAAAAACAAGTGCAGCGTTGTGGAGTCCGCCAAGGGGCTGAGGTCTCAGGAGCTGTTCTGGGTCTGTTTGGATATCAGCCCCAGGGGCAGGTTTCTTTCCTTCTCTGGGATCTGGTCCTGGTCTGTAACAGGAAGATTGGACACCTGTCGGGCTCCCCTCCTCTGGGCCTGCATACCTCTGGCCTCTCCCAGAGTCCTGATTATAGAGCTGGGCCCAGGCCCAGTGAAACTGGAGCTGGAATGCTCTGTTCTGGGATGGAGGGAGCCCCATTTGCCTTTCAAAACTCAGCTGTCTCGTAAATCAGGCAAGAGAGTCCATCTCAGTGAAGGGGTCAATTGTGTGCTGGCACACTAGCTCTACCACCCCGTCATCGCCCCCTCCTCTTGGGTTACTCTTTTCTTCTCCCTGGACTGAAAGAGAGAAAAGGGGCCTTTGAAAAGACGTCACTTTTGAAACCACAGTAGTGGAGCATGGTGGGTCTCAGGTGGCGGGTGCCTCCTCCAGGATCTATGCTTCTCTCCAGGCTGCTTGCAATTTGACTCCTGCCACCCTATTCTGTGCCCAGGCAAGCTGGGCAGTGGTGTGGACCTCCTGTGTCTTCCCCGACCTTCCATGGGCACCCACAGAGTGTTCTCTTCCCCACTACCTTCCAGGTAGGGCAGGCTGCATAGTACAGACGTCCCTGGGGACTTCTGCTGAGGCCACAGAGCCTGCTATTTGAGTAGAGGGACAATGTGGGGGTTCTTTATTGGCTTAGGGGTGAAGCAGGGACCCAGCCCAATGCCTCAGCACAGTCCTTGGACACTAAGATCTTGGTTCTGAGAGGCTCCACCCTCCAGGGGCTGACACTGGATTCTGACGCCTGTCAATCACCTGCCCTGTTTGCAGCCACTGCCTCATCTGACCTCATCCCCACACTGAAGCTTCAGGGTAAAGCCCAAAGAGCAAAGGGCCAGCCCCAGGGACATGGAGGCGTCTGTGTGGGCGAATGGTCACTCTTCTCAGCCACAGAGGCAACCGGGTGTCTGAGTGGGTGGACGTCACACTTCTCCAGGGCAGAGACACAGAATCAACGCCCTAGAGGGTGGGCCTGTGGAGAGAGCAGCACCCTTCCTCACCTTCAGGAAAAGCATCTGCCCCGGGACACAGGGCTCCCACAGGAACCCTTTCTACCTTCCATTGTCAGCCACCTCCAGGGTTAGCTCCCGAAGCACTAATCCACGTGGAATCACCACTGAGAGGCTCCCCAGGTCGCTGGGAGAAGTCCACGCTGCCTTACCACCTCGACTACATTGCGTACCCCCTTCCTTTTTCCAGTCCCATCCAAGTTTCGCAGAAACCACGCCAAGACCCCTCCTCCCCAGCAAACCCTGAGCCATGGAACCACACTCAACTGGAATATTTTGCTTTTATCCTTGACCTAGAGAACCTAGGGCTTGGTTGTAACCTCAGCTGCTCTGAGGAAACTCCCACCAGGAGGAAGTAAATCCCCGCTCTGAGCTCTGTCTGTTCCTAGGATGTAATCGACTCTGCCCACCTGGCATACCTTGAACTAACCAGAAGCAGTATCCATGCCAGGCCCCAGTGATGGAATCTAGCACCAAGCTAAGTGCGGGCAGCCACGTGGCTTTTGTTCTCACTTTTAAAAGCGACTCCCTCTTGAAATTCTATGGAACAGTGATCTAGAATAGTTAGTTCAGAGACGCTCAATCTTTCCGTTGCTATACTCTGAATGAAGGAGGTAAGGGGAGGAGGGACCTAAGACTCTCCACGAAAGGTCTCTTGCCAATTAATCTGATCAGCCCCACCAAGGAACCATCTCATGGCTGGGGCACTTATGAACAGCAAGATGAGGACAAACTACTTAGATGGATGTCATTCCATGGGGCTGGGAGCAGCCCTTAAACAAGCAGCCTGGACTATCCAGGAAGAAAGCAAGTCTGTAGATGTAAATGGCGCCTGGAAGCTGAGACCTGAAAGGGAACAACTAACTCCATAACTTCATGGGTGGGACGCCAGGGCAGGACCACATGTCCAAGACAGGGCTTGGGTAGCCTTGCTCACTGTCCCTCGGCAGTGATGGCTTGTGGGTTGCTGAAACGCTACTCAAGTGATGGTTTCCTTATAGGCCACTGCTAGGTCAGAGTTGAGCAATGCTTGGTTTTAGAAGAGGGGGGAGAAGGTTCCATCTTCAACACCATTCATGTCTGCCTTCACTTGTGCTGGGTACCTGGCATGTAGTTACAGGCTAGAGGCTGTCCCTGGGGGCTGGTGGGAATGTCTCCCTTGACCCAGCTCACAGCTCCAGTGGGGCTTGCCAGCCAAGAAGACATCACGGAGGAACCCCGACCACACAGGCCAACTCTGAACATGGAAAGAACAACTTAAATATGCCGCGTGCGAAACTCGCTCATGAAACTTAAAACACATGAGAGGGTCCTCCATGTTCTGTATTGCTCAGAAAATTCATTCCGACTTGTTCTCCACTGTCCAGGAGCGGCAGGGTGTGCTGGAGAAGCACAGTGGCACAGTGGAAGAATGTCACAGAGCTAGCTGGCAGGCAGGGCCTCTCAGGGCTGGGGCTAGGCTCTCTCGGAGCCTGCATGTGCTCTGAATCAGGGGCCTCAATGCGGTGCTGTCTCCCCCAGAGCCAAGACCCACACGTCCAGGATGCAAGCTTGGGCACTGGAGTGGTGGCAGTCAGTGGCACTCTCAGCAAACCATTAGCAACAGTTTTGCTTCCTTTCCCTTGACCTTCTGCTCTGCTTGCCTAGAAGTCTCCGTTCTGAAGGACAGAGGAGGGACAGAGATTCCACCGAGCGGGAGGTTAACACAGCCGCCCGCCCTCTGGCGTTCCTCATGCTTTGGAGCCAACAGATGAAGAAGGGGAGAATGAAGCTGACTGCCAGCTACTCTGCAATGGGGGTGCAGAAGATGGCGTTCAAGAACCACAGCTAGTGGAGGTGCCGGCTGAGGGGAGAGGAAGTGCAGGATGGGTGATGGGAGAAGGTGGTTACGAATACTGGCTATCCACGTCTGTCTGGTTAGAGAAAGCAGCGACACAGCTGTCATGAGTCTCTCCTCCTCCTTCTTGAGCATGCGTGTGGACGGCAGAGGTCATTGTCCACCCTGGTCTTATCATGCAGCGTGAGCTGCACTGACATTTGATGGTACCTATTTAAGCATTCATTTTCCACCACATCTGTGGAGATCTTACCTTTCCTCTTGGAAATGAGGGAGGAATTTTTCTGTCATGCCCAGCATCACGTTGGGCACAGTTATGACATGCTCTTATCTTTGTTTGCTAATAATTGCCTGCGGTTTGAGGAGATTCGTGCAAGTGCCAAGTTAACAGAAACAGACTGTGATGGGTAATTCTAGGAGTCAGTTTGCCTGAGCCACAGGGTGCCAGGCGTTTGGTTGGATATTATTCTCGTTGTATCTGGGAGGGTGTTTCTGTGGGAGGTGAGCATTTGCATCTGTAGACTGAGTCAGGCAGATGGCCTCTGTGGCGTGGGAGGGTCCATCCCATCTGTCACAGGCCAAAATAGAACAGAAAGGCTGAGCCTTCCCTGAGGAGGAGAACTGACTCCCACCTGACTTCCTGGACTGGACCACTGGTTTCTGTTATTTGTTTGTTTGTTTTTGTTGTTTCCTTCCTGTGTTTGGACTAAAAGCATGAGCTGGGCCTAGGTCTTGAGCCTACAAGCATTTAGACCAGATTGGTATCACCAGCCCTCCCGGCTTCCAGCTTGCCAACGGCAGATCTCAGGGCTTTCAGTCTCCAGAACCACATGAGCCGATTGCTTATAAACCTCTCTCTCAGTGGGATATATACATTGACTCTCTCTCCCTAACACACATACACATCATATTGGTTCTGTTTTTCTGGAGAATCCTGAGTAACACAACATTTTAAAAATAGCCCTGCCAAGGCCACGTCATTCCAGCACACTGTCTTATAAGGAGAAAGACATGGGTGGCTTCAGGAAGCACCCACCTGCCCCTCCCCTGTGTGGTCCCCACACTGCCCCTCCACCAAGCGCCAGGGCATGCCCCCCACCCAAGACCAGTGATCCCCTTTCCTGCCACTTACATCCGGGTCTAGCTCGTCCAGCTCATTTTCCAGCGTCCTGAGCTCCTCCTCAGTAAGGGCCCCCAGGATCTCATCTTCATCTAGGTCTCGGTATTTCTCCAGCTCTCGTCTGTAGGACATTGTGGAAGGACACGTCCTTGTCTTCTGAACGTCTGTGCTGACCGGTGACCTGTCAGAGGGAGGAAAACCGTTAGACCCTTGTCATGGTTTCTCTCTAGCAACAGGCTAAATGTGTTCAATAGTGGCTAATTTCAGCTAGTTCTCTCTCCACAGTGGCAAGCCCCGAGGCGTGTGATTTAATGATGTGTGTGATATGTATGACTGTATCTGTGCGCGTGAGTGTGGGTGTGCACAAGTGAAGGTCGGAGGATGACTTGGGTGTCAGTCCTCACCTCCGGCCACCTTGGGAACACTGGGCTAACTGGCCTGCAAGCCTCCAGGGGCTCTCCTGCCTCTACCTTGCATCTCCCCACACGAACCCTAAGATTACAGGTGTGCTCTCACTACAAGGACTTGAAGCCAGGTCCTCAAGCTTGTGTGCTGGAGCTTCACCCACTGAGCCATCTCTTCAGTCCAATCTAACAGATGTTAGTTGGTTGCAATGAGCATTGCCAGTAACTGAAAGTAAATTGTACTTGACAATTTTACTCTTAGGTCGTTCACATATTTTCTGGACAATCTTCCCGATGTCCCAGCAGAAACCACGAGTGCCAGCAACTGTCAGGCTTGCCATTTGAAGGGGGAGTGAAGACCTGCTGCATGCAGGCACCTCCCTACCACATCCCAGCCAATCCTGTCAGGAAGCACCCGGCAGTGACAGGCTTTGATAACAAGCTCGGAGCCATGGATTCTCTGATTTAACCTGCGCATGAGTTATTCAAGTTATCCTTCTTTCTCAGTTGAGGACATCCCAAACTTGAACTGAGATCTTCAGGGGACCCAGCGTCTGTGTGGTTAGAAGTCTTTTCACAGAATTGCAGGACCCCTCATTATATTCTCTGGGGAGCTGCTTCAAAAGAAGTGACTTATCCGGGGCAGCAGTCTGTGCCTGCCACTTCCAGGTTGCTTTCCCCTGTTGGGTGCTACCCAACACCCTCACGCGTGAGCTCATTCTAGCTGGGGCTTTTGAGTGAGGTCATTTTACCAAAGAAGAAACTGAAAGATAGCCCTGAGCTTGACTCAGGATCCCGGATGGCTGTGGTGTCCCTCTACTGCCTGAGAGGGACAGCAAGGCCATGAGCCCTCCTGTTCTTTAGCCTGGCTAAAATAAGAACATGATGAGGCCAGCCTATCTGCCACCTCCCTGAAAAGTTCTGGCAACTTCTCACAAACCTGACCTCATCGTAGACCCACTCCTGGGTCCACACCTCTTTGAGCAGCTTGTTCCCCATGAGCACCTGTGTCTTACTCCCAGCTTATGGCAGGAAGCTTTCCACTAAACCTGCCCAGTTCTGGTTTTCTTCTTATCTCCGGTGTCTCCAAGAAGGCTCTGGACTCTTGAAGAATGTGAGCTGCTTCAGAGCAGTTTTGAAAAGACCGTCTCCCTGTCCCAGGCCTCCCCACTACCTGAGCCTCTCCACCCTCCGTCCTTCCAGAAGCTCGATGAGGAAGCAGCTGAGGGATGCCTTAAATGTGGCAGAGTGGAATCTAGTCCTGTGCATATAGTCAGCTTACTGCCTTAGGCTTCATTTGTGGACATTCTAACACCCAGCACTCAGTCACTCAGGAGCACACTGCAGCTTAAAATGAGCCCTCACTTGGAAGCGGTCCTTACAGGGTTGCTGAGATGTAACTAGGTTTAGACAAGGTCATCCTGGAATCGGATGGGCTGCTGTTCCTACAGAAAGGGCACGGTGTCCACACAAGCATAGTGACACACACTGATGTAACAGAGTAGGATGAGCCTTTTGCAGGGCAAGGCTTGCCAGAAAACCTCTGAAGCCAGGGAGACACCTTGGGTCTATTTTTCCATTTAGCTCTCAGAAGAACCAAAGCAGCTGGGATGGTGGTCCATGCTTTTAATCCAAGCACCGAGGGGAGAGAGGCAGGCAGATTGCTGTGAGTTCAAGGACAGCCTGGTCTACAGAAGAACTAAAGCAGCTGACACATTAATCTTGGCTTCCAGACCAGACACATTTAAGCTGTTCAGCTTCCTGGTTTGAAGCACACTGTTCCAGTACCCCAGCGCACTGGCGTGATTGCCACCATCTCTTCACAGCAGTGCTCTAGACTCCCGTGCAAACAAACAAACAAACAAACAAACAAGAAAACATCCATGGTTCAGCTTTGAATTTTCTACAGCAGAGAAAAATGAAAACTGAGAGAAGACAATCGATCCATTTAAAACCGGTGCTTTTTAAATTAAGGACAACTGGAGTGATTAAAAACAAAGTGGAGTCAGAGTTCACTAACCATCAGAAAAAGCATTTACTTTGGAGAGTAAGGGGCACACTTCATTAACATAAATCTGCATTCCTGGGCACATCCTCGGTGAAGGCACTGTGACAACCACCTCAGTATGAAGGATGAGTTTCCCAAACACAGAACCCCGGCGCTGCCCTGTTCTCCAAGAAAGCCTCATGAAGTCCTCCTTTGACCAGACCCCAAGCATGCAATGTGCAGACCATGAGTGTATACACCCCTATTCATTTCCTTTTGCTTTCAGGTGGCCTGCCATGGATGCCGGATGGTCTCACACAGCAGCCTGACTTGGTGTGTCCTAAGTGAAGCCCGGAAACACGAGGATCCGTGGTCTCCATTACAGGGCCCAGAGGGACTCAAATAACGGCTGCCGGGATGAGCTCTCAAAGATGTCTGGCACCGCTGAGATGGGCATCAAAGCACCAGTCTGCTGTCTGCTGTGCTGGAGATGTGGTTGACTTCCCCAGAGGTTCTTGTGCTGGGACCTGGTCTCCAGCGTAGCAATGCTGCGGTCCTGGGGGCTGAGAGAGGTAGGAGCCACAGCCAGGAGTGTATGGGCAACACAAGTTGGACTCAGTGGGGTTATTTTTTTTAATGCCATGAAGCTGGGGCAGGTGGGAAGGTGGAGGGTAGATCCAAGAGGAGTAGAGAGGTGAATATGATCCAAATACATTAGTCGGAGGTAGTTAGGCCATCGTAGCTGCTCCCCTCTGGAGGGACCAACTCTGTGGTCTTACGGAATGATTGATTTATTACCTGAAGGAACAGTTATAAGGACAATAAGGTTGACCCCCTCTCTTAGAGCTCCTGTTACTGTGAGAAAACACCATGACTAAAAGCAACTCAGGGAGGAAAGGGTTTATTTCATCTCATAACTCTCAGGTCGCATGCCATCGCTGAGGGAAGCCAGAGCAGGGACCTGGAGGCAGGAATGAAGCCGAGGCCACGGAAGAGTGCTACTTACTGGATTATTCCCCATGCTTTCTCATCCTGTTTTTTACACCACCCAGGCCCAGGGGTGGCACTGTGGCCCACAGTGGGCTGGGCCCTCCTGTATCGATCATCCATCATCGATCAAGAAAACACCCCACAGGCTTGCCCACCCCACAGGCTACACCCACTGATGGAGGTGTAGTCTCAGTTGAGGTTCTTCTTCCCAGATGACTCTAATTCATGTCAAGTTGACAAAAGAAACACCCAGGATCCCCTCCCCTTGTTTCCTGGGTCATGTCCTTGCAATGTAACTTCCACTTGTGGCGCACCGCCCCTCCATGTTGCCGTGGGCTTGTGATGATGCAGTCAGGATGGCTCTCACTGCAGAGGACCAGATGGGGCTGCCTGGCCTTGGATTTTAACTTCCAAAACTGTGAGCTAAATGATGCTCTTTACTTTTAAAAGTACCCAGCCTTGGGTATTTTGTCTTAGCAATAAAAAGTGGCAGTAAGACAGTCCTCTAAGGTTTTAGATTGTACCAGGGCCACAGGGACTGGACTACAGGACTTCTTTAAAGAAGTTACCCAGTTAGCTACTCAAGAGATGTCTCCAGGAATAGTGCACAACAGAATCCCCCAGTTCCTTGTTATGGCATTAGGTCTCTAAGGCACTTCTCCACAAACTGGAATCTCATGAAACAAATTTTGGAAAGCACTGTCTTAGAGTCACTTCCGGGTCATCCTGGGAGCCATCACACAAGAAGACAGGCCACAGGGACGGAGCATGTCAGGACACAACTCGAGGGTACCAGAGCATGCTGAGAGCCAGCAGCTTCCCAGGCTTGTGAGTTTTTGCTGCTGGGCTCATTTTCTAGATGGTCTGCAGGAAGACTTCAGGGAAGACTCACACACAGATGGATGACAGAATAGACAGAACCTGAGAACCAGGAAGGGAGGCATCCACGTGAAAGGCAGCTTGGGCAGAAGTTGTTAGGGAAGAAGCCAGATAAAAGCAGGAGGAGTCAACTCTGGGACCTGCTGCAGGAGAGATGTGGGGCCTAACAACAGGCCACCCCCACGATGGGACTTGACGAGCAGGCATCTTCAAATTCCCTGATAAGGCCTCCTCTTGTTGCATCCAGGGAAGTTATACTATGCAGCCACCCTGAGCCACTGCTGAGTTCAAAATCTCTATTTCATAGGCCCTTAGAGCCCGTTCAAATGTCAAGCAAGCACCTTGTGACTATTATAGAGGGACGAGGCATTAACTTTAAATAAGCTGAGAAGAATCAAGATCTCCCAGGGTAAACCTTGAAGCTGCCAGCTTCAAGCCACACTCATCTCGTTTCTACAAAGGAGGATCCTCACAGGATGGATTCTACTAAGAAGGGTTCTCCTCCCACTGTGGGCCCTGAGAATGCTGGAGGTGGAGAGGAGGTAGAAATATGGGGAACACAAACTGTGTGTTAACAGATTCCCACTCAGTCTTAAGACAGGGCTTAGGAGAGATTGCATTTCTAACTGTTAATTCAAGGCCCCTGTTTCCTAGCCGAAGAGGTGTCGGGAATGGAGAGTCTGGATTGGAAAGCTAGTTTTGATGTTAGTTGCTAGGATGACCATCGTTAAATTCTTGAGGCCTCTGTTTACTCAACTGCAATGACAGAATTAGCCCACATAGGTGGCTTTGAAACTGTACCCAGAGGAGATCTCTGAGAAAGTGTCTCTGGATGCCTGGAGGGGGCCAAAGGCTGAGAGGGCTCACCCTGACCTTGCTTGATATGTTTGCTTAGGGTCATTGAAGAACTCCTTGAAGTAA